CGATATTCAGTAACGCGGCTTACAAAATGCTCATCCACATGTCACGACCCTGAGTACTTGGCATTTCAGCGTCTTTACATTTTTAATCTTCGGGGGAGTTGGCGCACTGCTCGTTTATTAAGCGCGGGTCCGGCTAAACCGCGCTTGACCTGCTCGCGACATCTTGCAGCGCATTACTCACGCCCCGGCGAGCAGCGGTATACTCCGTCGGCAGTGTTAGCGACATTATGTGGTTTGGGGACCGCGAAAGGTTCAAGTGTATGGTACGATTGCCGACACAATATCTGATGACCATGTTAATAAATCTGTTTGGTTTGTTCTGGATTTTTTTTTTTTGTCCTTTCATTTTTTTTTTTCTGTAAATGTGCCAGGAAAAGAATTCATTAAAGATTGGAGTAGCGTTCCGATCATCGAGATTTTCAAAGGTGCCGCGTATTGCAACAAGGAGTTTCATCAATTAAAAAATAAATTGTTATTTTGCATTTTTAATCAGTAGCCATAACTCCCTCGACTGTGTGAAAAATCATTTGAAAATTGGAGGATTCGGTTTTGTTAGGGTTACCTTATTTCAATTGCAGTTTTGTTTACATTTTTCATTTGTTGTCCTTGTTTAAACTGAATTACAAAACATCTGTGTAAGATAAATTTTTACATGTAAACTTGCTCATTAAAATCCACATGGTATGGCCTGTTTTTTTTTAATCATTCACACATTCATTGATAACTTGACTTTTAATGTGCGAGAAATTATTAAAATCTTATCTAATCTGAATCAAATATTCCATCCATATTGCATTCTACCAAAATAGAAAAAAAGAATAATAATTAGGCCTACGGTGCCAATCTTGTTCAACTTGCACGGAATTCTATACCCAAATGCTGAGTGTTAACATTAAGGCAAAGAAACTAAATATGAAAATTAAAAATAATTCATTAACATTAAAATATTTTGCTGCATATAATGATAAAACTGTAGATTTTTTTTATTCCTTTGCAAATCCTTTGTAAACTGGAATCCATAGAAACCGCAGAGACTGACCTTTGTTCGTCCCAATTCATAACCGGACCAGCTGCCAACTGTACCATGAGAATAATCAACACCCCCCTCCCCCCAACCCTGAGAAAACAAACAGGCAGCACTCTCATGAATGACCTTCTTTCCCCGCCTTCCTTTCATGTTTTTTTTTTCTGTATTACTGTTTGTGTTTAGACAATGCGCGGCACGTGCTGCCACGTGGCAGTGTCGACACATTGTGCTATTCTGGCTGTGGTTTTATGCATAACCGGCACTTAAATGAGGCTAGCAATTGGCGCTGCATTTTGTACCTAGTTAGCACCATTTTTTTGGTCTTTGTTGATCGAGTTTACAATATAAAAACTCTCCCTGGAATAGTATTTGTGATGTGATCAAGCTAAATGAGTCGTTTGTCAACCCTGGTCATTTTTTTTTTTTTTTTTACAGATTTGAAATAAGAGCACAATCTCAGCATTACTGCTTAAATGTGCCCTAACCCCATTATTCCCTTGTCCTTTTCCCACAAATTTCGGTATGTTTAGTAATTTAGACCACGAGCAACAAATATAATCTAATTGCTACAGCAACATTTTGCCTCTAAAGGGGGCTGTCTCCCTAATGACCGATGTCTCCCATCATGCGAAGAAATTACGATAACGTGTCTCCTTAATGGTACCATTACACGTATACATGTAATAATAAAAGTAGCATTTATAATGCATTAAAATGTTCAGATGCGCATAACAATTACAGTATTCATTTAAAAATTGTACAATAATTTTTTTTTTAAATATTAAAAACTACAATTCAACATTAATATTAATAATTAATACAATTTAACAATTGTACAATTATACAAAAAAAACTACAACTGGACAAACATTGTGTGCCACTGATCAAAGGATTTTATTCTTATTGTCTGCAAATTACTGATATATTTTGGCAGTGAGTACATGTACGTTTGCCTCTCTCGGCACAAACCTTTTTGTTTTCTTCTTCTTCAGTTGTCTAATGCAGGACAAACTTCTTTTTGGGCATATATCTGTACAAGAGTGTTAAAGGCCTCTTTTGTATTCAAGCTAGTTCAATCAAAATTCAATTCATAAAATGCAAATTTAACCAATGAATATCTCATCAGCCCAGGGGGACTCTTCCCCCCCCCCCCCCCCAAAAAAAAACTAATCAGATACACTGCGTAAAATAGGCTATCAGATATCAACAGCTTCACAGTTTGCCCGAACTTCATTTGCATCTTGATTCAATACCCTCTTCTTTAAAACCTTCCGTTCTGCGACCAAACGATTTCTTGAATAATATTTTGATTCACCACTTCGTGGTTTGCGTCATCTTTTACCGGTCGACTCGCATCGACATTAGAATTCAGAAAGAGGAGAAAAATGCAGTGGGGATGATTCGTGTTGGAGGATATCTGTCAGACGGCATGAGGGTTTTTGAGCTTTAGTTGTCTTGTTCCGTCTCCTCCTCTCTCTCTCTCCCCCCCCCCCCCCCCCCCCAGCGAAAGGGAACGGTGTCAGTGGAATTTAACTGGTGACACGTCTTGGTTAAAGAATGTCCCCTGTGATGACCGGATTTGGCTTGACATTTGTCGAAGGCCCGGAGCCTGCGACCGAGGTGGAAGCACCTCATCTGCAATTCTGATGTCTCCGATTTGCCCTAGAGCCCTCGACTCAATATCTCTCGCTCGCTCCCTTCCCGTCTTAAGAGAAAAAAAAGGTCTTGTATTTGTTTGCGAGCGCCAGTGATCAACACGGCCCGGATTTGAAAACGGAGGCACGAATGAAAGAAAGGGGAAGCAAGAAGAGATTAGGGTTGAGCAAAAAAAAAAGGAACAAAGAGAAAACACCTGTTGTATGAGGGATGTGTTTCAGTTTGAAATGACGACTTGATTCAAACATCCTGTCTGATTTGTTTTTTCTTGATTCGAGGAAAGAGATCAAGTAGAGAGGCTTGTTAATGCCCTTGTTTGACGTCAATCTGCTTCCCAGCGTCTTGAGATGGAGCGCTAAGCATCTGGAAAGTCGAGGATTTGGTTCTACAGGAGGCTTTTGGACTGATCGAGGCTTGAGTAAACGGTAGACCGCGGTGGGCCGGAATATTCTATGAGCTTAGCAAATACTTGGAAGTGTCTGCTACGACGTCAGAATGCGTACAAACAAAAAATTCCGTGGCTTACTCAGGCACTCCATCTTCTTCAATCTTCGGAGCTCAGCGTGTGCGACGTCTAGTGCGCAAGTGTTTGTTGAATCTGCCCCCGGTAGCCAGTATACGGGACACCGGTTGTCGCAGCTTCCCAGGAGCCGCGAAAATGTCTTTGACTAGGATGCCCCCGTGCCCCTCAGAGTGTTCGGACAGCAACAATCCCGGGGGAAATTAAATGACACGCGAGTGTCAGTCAAACGAAATCCAGTCAGAATTAACAGCGGTCTCGGCGCTTTCGCTGGAAAGCGGGATTTTGTTGCTGGGTTCGGAAATCCAAAACCGTTCACCTGTCTTCTATCACCGAACTCATCACTTCAGAAATACAGGAACATATCTCTCAACATGTATACTCAATATTTAGTAAATATCCATCGCCAGCCAACTCTTTTTTTCTTCTTCTTCTACCCGGTATTTGTTCATCATTAACCGATGTTTGTTTGTTCAAGCAATCCGGATCTAGCCACTCCAGTAAGGTCTCATCTCTCAATTTCCTCTCTTTCATGTTTCCGGGCAGTGTTCATGTAAATCAGTAACTTTTTTTACCGTCACAACTCAGTGGCATTTGTGTAGATTGTTTTGTTCGGCCAAATGGCTTTCAATTTATTTTAATACCATCATTTGTGTCTGTTATCTGTGGTTGTTTGTATATCATTTTTTATGATCGGCGTATGGCTTTTAAGGAAACCCGCAATTTCTATTCATCCGTTGGTAAATATATGGACAGCCACCTATTTCATCAGAGGAGGGGGATATATTTGTGAAAATGTATCTCTTCCAGATATGTTTCTACTCTGTGAAAGGCATTTTTACTTGGAAATGATGTCCGTCAATCAATTTGAAGAAGTATAATTTTTATGAAGCACCAAAATGACTTGAACCAAAAGCAAAAACAGTTCAGGTATTTTAATAATTACTTCATCATCTTCAAATATGTACATGTACCTCTTGTATCATAAGTTTAGGCAATTTTTTGCCTTCAGTTAAAAGTCTTTTTATTAAAAGTGCTCAATATTTGTTCAACTTGTAATTTGCTTCATTCGATAGATTTGGGGTCCACTTTTTTCCAGTCCCTGTTACATATGACATCTGTGATTTTATAATTCTGATGCGCTCCTTAATGCAGTCGTCCTCAACAAAAAACATCATTTGAAATCATTCAAAGTGACACTTAAATGGTAAATTCCAAAGTACCAAGGTAACAGGGACAAGAAAAATGTCACATTTTGGACCCTAAATTTACAGAATGGTCCATCCAAATTGACCTGACTTTAACATGATTTCTCAACTCCTCTGCCCCTGATTACCTCTCTTCTCTTCTCTCAATTCGAACCGGGTCTCACTCCCTTCGCCCTTCTCATGGGAAATCTCTTGTTGTCCAGAGGACAAATAAACTCGCAGGCGATCGGGCCTTCTCTATTGCTGCTCCCCGATTGTGGAATAGTCTACCCATCCCTATCAGAAACTCCGATACTGTGCCAACCTTCAAGAAGGCTCTCAAAACCCATTTTTTCCCCACACCATAGCTGGTCGTACGCCCTTGTTGTGTTTCTGTTGTTCTTTCTGTAGTTCTTCTTTCTTTGTTTCAGCGCCTTGTATCCTTTGGCAATTTGGCGCTCTATAAATCCAGTTCTTATTATTATTATGAAGTCCAGATCCAACTCTGTGTTAGAGTCGGATTTCAAATCCACAACCTACAGACTTTCTTAGTTTTGCTCATTCATTAGGCATCTGTCTCAATTTTCCTTTCGTTTTGTCTTTACCTCAGACCCACATTACCGTCTTGGACTCCCCACAAGACGACAACTCCACCCTGATTGTCGTGACAGTGGTCCTGGTGGCCTGCATAGTGGGCATCCTGATCGCTGTCATCACCGTCTACTGCTACCGACAGAAGGCCAGGATCAGGGCCAAGCTCAAGGGGCTGAGCTCCAACGGGGGTGCCGTGGAGGGGGAGGCGACCGCTGATTATCAGGTAGGTACATGTACAGCCCTGAACAGAGTGGGTGGAGGATGGGTGGACAATTATTTGTCAGATGGGGTGAGGATGAGGGTCAAGCTCAAGGGGCTGAGCTCCAATGGGGTGCCGTGGAGGGGGAAGCGACCGCTGATTATCAGGTAGGTACATGTACAACCCTGAACAGAGTGGGTAGGGGATGGGTGGACAAACATTTGTCAGATGGGGTGAGGATGAGGGTCAAGCTCAACGGGCTGAGCTCCAAGGGGGGGGGGGGCGTGGAGTGGGAGGCGACTGCTGATTATGAGCTTGGTACAACCTTAGACCTTGGATGGGGTAGGGGATGGGTTGACGGACATGTTGACAGATGGAGTGAGTACATGGGTTTCAAGGATAGATGGACAGACACAGTGAAAGACAGGGAGGGGGATGAATGGACAGAAACAGTCAAAAGATAGGGTGGGGGATGGTTGGACAGACACTGTGACAGATGGGGTGATGGGTGTATAGAAAGACATGCTGACAAGATATAGATGTAGGAACAAGTGTGAACTTGTAGACAGGCTTACAAAAAGGTTAACATACATACATGTAGAACGCAAATAGTTTTTGATTTTGATACTTGGATCGGTATCTATAGAGCGCATTTTAAGGTTAAAATGCACTTACTACTCTAACCACTGCCAGAATTCAATGTAGTTTCCTCGTTTTTTTACTTCTCATGAATGCCATTACAAATTGAAAAACACTGTACAAAGTCTTGTGTGGTTTGGAGTTTCCTTGTTTTTTCTAAATTCCCAGTTGCAAGCCTGGGGCCAATTTCATGGAGGTGCTAAGCACAACAATTTGCTTAGCACAAACATGTCCTGCTCAGTAAAAACAGTTACTAGCCAAAACTCCCTATGATTTTCACACAAAAGTAAACAACAGCTTAGTACCAGTCACAAGCAATATAAAACACATACAAATTTGGTTGGTAACCCTGTTCTTATCCAGGAGGAATGCTCATGCTAAGCAAATTTTTGTGCTTAGCAGCTCCATGAAATTGGCCCCTGATCTTTAGGCAGAGGAAAATTGTACTGTAAGAGTAATCTTTGTAAAGATTCTCAGTGATACCCAGGATGTGAAATATATAAAGTGCATCAATTGTTGTCATGCAAGCATATATCAGTGTTCCTGCATTGGCCATTATGATACATGGAGGCCAGTGCTGAACAGAATGCGAGTACGGCTCACTGCGCTCTCATAAACATGACTGAATGACCAGATGAGCTTCAGTAACTGGTTATTGCTGTGTGTCCTTGGCACTGAATCCCTTCCTTACCTCCCCCCCCCCCTTCCCCCTCCCCCCCCCCCCCCCCCCAGGCTAGTGCACATAATCAATCCCTGTCCAAATATCTCCGTCTACCGTAGAACAATCTCCGTACGCCAGGTCAATCCAATATTCAAATCCCGTTTTTTTGTTGTTTTTCTCCCGTTAAAATTCCCCACGCCTCCTTCATTCAAAAGTGCAAGTGACACGGGTCAGTTTTAAAACCGCATCATCGCACCCGAATATTTTAGTCACGCGGGGTACAGTTTCTGAACGCATCCAGTGACACGTAAAAATGAAATGAAACAACCGAATGCCAAAAACGCAATTTTTTTGGGCATTCTTTATTGGCAACCGTAAACTGAACCTTATTTTGACAAGATTTTTTTTTTTTTTATCTTGTGGAGTGGTCGCTCGGAGCGTTTTTTATTGTCGTGGGGTCAAGTCTAAGAGCCGTCCACCTGGGCAGGTGGTGGCAGGTTGGCGGGGGGAAACGTAATTCACTCTGTCGCAACCTACACTCGCACGCGTCTTCCCTGTCTGTATGAGGTCTCGTTTTAGTGCTGACACTGTTGTAGCAAACGACTCATTGGAATTTTATTTTAATGATTGACGTTAAAATATATATCTGACGGCATTGGCGATTTGACATCATAAATATTTTCTATTTTAAGAAAAAGTGTATTGACAATTTGTAAGATGCAATTTTTATTGGATGCAGAAATTTTAATACTTGATTTCATTTTGCAAATGTTTGTTTTAGTTATGTTTGTACTAACCGGTATATCATACTGTTCGTTTTAGAGTGTTGGATATTATTGTGTAACGGAAATTTCTTAGAAGTTTAGTACAAATGCACTTGTTGGTCATCTCGTAACCTGTGACATAAAATTGTACATAAATAATTCCCTTATTCTGGAAATCATTTTTTTATATTTTACTTTATTTATTCTTGAACTGCACTATAAAAAAAAACCTGTTGAGAATGTCGTAGGGCTTCAGAAATATTCTCCTTTCTCCCCTCAGTCAAAACAAAATCACACAAAGGAGTTACCATGAACATTAGACATCAAATGTGAATCACTCACCATTGATATTTAAGCTTGTCAGTTTTTTTTATCTCAAGTTTATTCCACAAGGTGTTATTCTGTAAAAAAAACCAACCTCTCACAAACTTACAGCCAGAATTTTTGCAAAATTCTCAAACTGATGACTCCAAACCAAACTTTCTGAGAATTCCCCCATAAAATCAAATACTCATTTTTTAGAATTGCGTTTTCCATCTACATATTCCATCGGAAAAACAATCCGAACCGGAATGCAGAAGAAACAGACAACAACCTGTTTTCCACGGGCCCCCTTCCCAGCCGAATTCCTGCGGGATAGTTTCTTAATAGCGCCGGGTCCGGTCAATCTATATCTTATTGATCTGACCTGTACTTTTTCCCCGGTTCCCTTCCCCGGCCAGGATTTGTGTCGGCAGCGAATGGCCAGCAAGTCCTCGGAGAAGCCAGAGCCGCTCAGCCGCATCAGCAGTGTCGCGATGAGCGAGGGCGCTAATCCAAGTCCGTCCAGTCGCAGCAGCACGTCGTCGTGGAGCGAGGAGCCAGTCCAGTCCAACATGGACATCTCCACGGGGCATATAGTCCTGGTGAGTTCCCTTGGGGAGCTGTTGGTTCTTACGAGGGTTGGACGTGGGGGAGTCCAATCCAGATCCTTATTTTAATCAAAACCTCTTCTTGAAGTATTTGTGACCGGCTCTACAAAAAAGGGTATTAAGTCGTGCTTAGCATTATTGTGTTATGGCCTGCTCAACATTGAGAGGGTGACAATTTTGTCAAAATGTGGTTTTCATTTTAATCATGAATGACATCTTTAATACCTACAGTTGCAGGTTTCTTTCACAGAAATGTTGCTTTTGATGAACAAAGTTGGAAAAACAACAATTTTGTGTGCATCATTTTTAGGTTCTACAACAAAGCCTGCTATTTCGAAGCCAGTTTTCTCAGTTGTGCAATTTGAACTCCAAGGAAGTAATTAATATGTAAATTTGTCATATCTCCAGAACAAGAGGGGCTATGGGGCTCTGCTATTTACCAAATGAAAGCTTACGTTGTGGGCTTTCCAACTATGTATATAACTCCATTCCACCTTTTTGCGACATAATACCCTTTTTTGTGGAGCCGGTCACATTTTTTCTCAACAAAATTAATGTTTACACAGAATTTATAAGGATTTTGGTTGTTGTCTGGAGGACATTCAAAGGTGCCGGGCCTAAATTCAAAGAAAGAAAAACCTCAGTTGATGGAAAAGCCAACGTAAAAAGATTTGTTTTTGGTTACTGTTTGAAGAGTGTGAAGTGTTTTTGTCTCTCTGAGAGCTAGTGGTTAACAGTTCCGTAGCCATGGTGCGAACATTCGGACGGGATTCCTCAGCGCACATGTACAGGCGCTGTAATTTTGTGAAACCTAGAGAGAGAAGACGTTGAAGAAATGTCAAGGTTTTAGAAGAAAAACCCTGGAGTATTCCAGGGGAAAATGCTCAGAATCAGATTTGCACTGATGAAAAGCCAATCAGCATATCGCCCTGTGGGATTCAAACTCTGGGTCACAGTGGTAGAGGCAAAGAAAGTAAGCTTGAAATCACGTTCTCACTTAAGAAAAATATTCTTAAAAAAAGGAAAATATTCTTGAAATTGGAAATTGACTAAGCCAAAAGAACTTGTGTAAGAACAATTTTATTAATGTTTTAAATATCAAAAATTTTGGGAAAATTGTCTTTTCCAAAACAAGGTTTTCTTAAGACATTTCTCAGAACAAGAATTATATTCCTTATTAAATTTTTTTTTCTTGCTTTAGAAATTCATTTTTTGGCTGTGTAGTACAAATTCCGTTGCATTCAATACAAAAAATGAGATCTTGATGCTTATTTTTCGGCCGTCTTGTTTCTCCTCGTCAGTCCTACATGGAGGACCATCTACGCAACAAAGACAGGATTACCAAGGAGTGGGAGGCTCTATGTCGATACGAGCCGGACGTCAGTAGCACCAAGGTGGGGGCACTCGCCATCAACGCTCCCAAGAATCGCTACCAGAACGTCCTGCCATGTAAGACACTTCTCCCCCTTAAATTGGGAGATATTTCTTATATTTCCCCTTCTGTTGGGTTGAAATACAATTTGTCATTAATGAACCCTAACTCCCTAGGCCTTTTTGCTAGGATGTAGCCTCAATCCTGCGAAATCCTCTAATTGACCTCATGGAATAATAGCATATAGCCTCAATCCTGCAAATTCCTCCATTATTTCTTGAATATGGTCTGTGGAGGGGTGACCACTGCCAGAATCCTGCAAAATCCTACGGCAGTGACTGTCAATATGTTGAGGGTTGGCCAGTAACATCCTGGAGCAGTACGGAGGATTGCAAGCATTATCCAGGCCTATTTTCATGCATGGCTGAGCAAAAACAACACAAAAGTCCGGCCCAAGACCTTGACAAAGTGCATCCTATGAAATCAGTAACGCACTTTTGCCATGTAACCTCAATACTCCAACTCCTCCACTTTGGCAAAGAGGAATTTGAAGGGCGGTTAGGTTAGATTAATTATGTAAAGCCGGTTTGTGGCACAGCTACAGGCTTTAGATTCTTGAATGCTTTTTTAATAGACACCTCTCATAGACAGCCATCTTTGTAGGATAATTGCAACTGGGCATTCAACGCGATCAGGTACGTCTGCGCCCAGGGTGTAAAATGTTCAAAATACATGCACACGTTTCTCGAAATTTCTGTGAAATATGGCAAAGTGGATGTGCGTCATGAAAAATTTGACTCCAAAATGCCGATGCATGTGACAATCTGTAAGCAGCGACGTCATTTGAGAGAGAAGGTTTCATTTCCCTCAAAGACAGAAAAAGTGGAGATCAAAAGGCTTCAAATAAAATAGACTTGGTGCATGTTCGTAAAATTCTCCGAAACAAACGCAGTTATCCGTGCGTGTTGCTGATCAAGTCAAAGACATAAGTCTCGCTGTGTTTGAAGAGCCGTTGTGGGCACTATGCGGAGCTGAGTGTGTCTATATGCTCTGTGTAATGAGCTGGGCACTGTCCAAAGACTGAACTCAACTTGGAAGGGGGGGGGGGGTTGAGGCAGGTCGGACGGGAGGTTGCCTAGGCAGGGCAGAGAGCAAATAGGCTTTAGAGAGAAGTTGAGGGTGATAGAGCTTTAAGAAGAGGTTTGCTGATTGAGAAAGGGTCGGTGATGGTGCTTGGGTGGAAGGGAGGGGAGGAAGCAATCTTAGGGAGAGAGTAGGGTCGTCAGTCGTGGGGAGAATTTGAAATTATGAAAGGCGATGTCCTAGCCATGCATAGACCAGAGTTAGGGCTAACATTCCTTCGCCCCACCTGGACTTGCCGATGTTCAATCATCTACACATCTTGAATACTTAAAGTAGAGTTTATCATTTGCAGCTATCCCAAAAAGTAACTGACAAAATTATTGTTGAAAAGCTTGGTTTAAAGATAGTAATGGCACTAAACTCCCTGTGAAATTATTCTTTCTGGCATGCTGCCATTTTGAAGATCACAATAAAAGCAGGTCATTTCCGAAGACGCGTCTAAAGACGCGTTTTTTGACATTTCCGTTAGTAGTTCGCTTTTAATTTGGCGAAGCCGTGAATGGGTGCACGCAAGCATTGACAAGACGTACACAGGCCCGCAGTTGCTATAATTCGTCTGTTCAGTGCGTGACATCGCGTAGCTGCAATCGGCTGAATGAGAACGTGTCCCACACGCTGATGTCGGGCAAAATTTAAAAACATGGCTCGGCAACTTTTGAATTGAAATTGAGATCCTAGAATATTGGTTTCTCGGAATATACAGCATTCACTGAGCTAAAACTTCATCAGGCTACAATGTAGTTGTTTAGGCACCCTTCTTTAGATTTTGAGAACTTTTGTTGCTTCAAAAGAAGAAAATGCACAAATGACAAATGATGTACTCTACCTTTAAAGCTTCATTTGCCAAAAGACCTGAGGTTAGCATATAATAAAGTAATTATAGACAAGCAGGTCATGATAAAGTCTCCTGCTCATGGACAATATTCATCGGCTGGAAATGTTCCCACAGTCTTCCACCATTCAGAGGCAATTTTTCTTTCTTTTTTCACAGGAGGTCAGTTTATTAAATTCTGAGCAACAAATTAATTTCAATCATTTATCTCCTATCAAAAAAAAAGAAATGTCAAAATGCTAATTTATCACTGGAATATGAAAAAAAATAGGTACCGCATGATCAAACCTGTTTATAATAAACAAAAAATCGGTAGCAGAAAAGAGTAATGATGTTCATTGTTATGACTGCATGTGACATTTAGCCTTGAAACAGGTTTAGCCTGGAATTAACCAGGATATAACTAAGCCAGGTTATTACTCAATAATTTAAGCCGGATTTAGCAGGCTCCACTTGTTTTCTTTGTTTGCATACGTTGTGCATTTTTGCATTAAAAATTGCAAACGAGATTTTCATGACAAGGTGAAATAAATGCACTCGAACGCCTGTTTTGAAATGAGTTTTATTACCGAACGAGTGTACGTGCAGTCGTGCATTTATTCCGAGAAGGAAGTTCTCGTATATTTAATAATGCTTCGACGACTGTTCAGCATACAAAAATAGTGCATCCATTATGTGAGCATTGAGTGCACAATCCTGCAGCACATCACAACTCAAGCGCGCCGACCATTCTCGGCACAAATTAAAGGCGACGGGTTGGGCCTTTTTTGATGTGATAGTTTTGTCAGGAATTACGCGTCTGTTTGGATAGCGGGTTTCGTTTAAGATTGCAGTTTTTGGGGGGATCAAAGACTTGTCTAGGATATACTGTTTTGATGGTTTATTTAATAACATAGTACAGTTTTGGAAGGAAAGCATGTTTTTTAAAAGGATAACAGTTTTGTCTATAAGTAGATGGACTTTTGCGTCGGGAAGATGTACATATCATATTGTTTTTTGTTGAGTTTTTACTCTGAGTTTATGCATGTTACGCCATTATATAGACTCTTTGCGCAAACAGTAAATGGCGCCATTGCACCAATTTTGGAGAGCTGAAAAGTGGGGGGACACACCGTGTGTACGTACTGGTTCTCGTGCCTATGGCGAGAAGTGCGCACGATTATTTTTAATCCGAGTGCGCTCAGCAGTGGCATCTTCGCGTGAGCGCCAGATGTCGGGAATGCGTCCCATTGGTCTCCCCAACTCTCTCTCTGTAACCATTGAGGGGGTGCTTGTGCGCAAAATCCATACGCAAAACATGCAATACCGCATTGTACATTATTTCTCTCCTCAAAAGGTAATAGCAGATTTGTAGGTTTTGGGTTTGATTCAAATTGAAATCTAATTTTCGTAATTTTTTTTTCCTTTTCCGCAGACGACCACACACGGGTATTACTGAATGACTCCACCAATGCACTAAGCTCAGACTACATCAATGCAAGCACGATAGTAAGTACCCCCACATCTCTTCCCATCATTCATTGCAATGTTAAGCCAGGGTGCCAAGTCATGTCTCTGCTTACTGTTAGCGAAAAATCCCCGCTTACTGTTGCAGAAAGTTCCGTGCTTACAGTTAGCATATTTCACGGGTTAGCAAGGAATTTTTAGCTTATGCGCATGCGTACATCCCGTAACTAAGGATTCTGTGCTTACAGGATTAGCAAAACATTTTTGTTTTTTTAATGCTGTTAGCACAGAATCGTGATCGTAAGCGCAGAATTCTGTGGCTAGAAGAGTCTTGAAGTTTGGCCTCTGTCACAAACAACGAGTAAAAGGACCACTTTTGAAGTAAAATTCAGGAATAAAAACTAAAAAGATTTACCATTCGGCATACAAAAAGATTTCGCCGAATAACAAAACGAACTACTAATTTAAATTTTCCTACGGTGCGTCTTAAGAAGCACCGTTGGAAAGGCCTTCTTTCGTTGATTACTTCAAAATGACAGCTTCCCAGAAAGAATAATTTCAAAGGGAGTTTAGTTCCCTTACTATCTTTCAACCAAGTTTGTTTTTCAACAATAATTACGCCAGTTACTTTTCGGATGGCTGCAAATGATAGCTATAAACAAAAAACAATTGGCATCTTTCATTTCCACGCCTACAGAACTCGAAACTTTGAAGGATTTTTCTAACTATTTTACGTTTTAGACATGTCGATAAATGCCACTTTAAAAAGCCATGACTTGTCTTCAAATTGTCTTGTTAAAGTGCAACAAAGAGAATTCAAGGAGAATGTTATTCTCTTTCCTAATACTTGCAAACCCTCGTTTCGACCTTGGCCCAGTTCTGTCTCATTTTGCTAGAACGCTTCACAAATGATTCACCATGGATGTGACTCTCTCAATATGGGGTCACTACATCTCCCTCCTATACAGCTCCGTCCTATAAAGATAACATTTTCTGTTCGGATTTGCATTAAACAGTGAATATAAAAGAGACGTATAAAGTGAGATGTGGTTGTTGTTTTTTTATCAAGAAAATCTTGAGTTTTTAAACTAACACACATCTGACGTCAAGTGGAGCTTTTCTGTCGATCTGATCTAGTCCAAGTGTCCTCCAAACCTGAGAAGGTTGTCTGTAGGATGTTATCAGAATAAATTTACTTTAAACAAAAAAAAGGAGAGAAAAAATACAGTTTCATCATCTTTCACTCTGTTTTGAAACAGGCAATAGGTTTTTCATTTAAAAAAAATGCGGTTGGCAATGTAACTTATTGCCTCAAAAAAACAAAACATAAAATTTACTTATGCTTACCTGCAAATAATTAATGTGGCAGAACCCCCAAGCGGGCGACAACACGGTCCATTAGAATCCAGACGATAATTTGTTTTGACCATTCACTTTGTTGAGGCGGGTAAAAAAGGAGGGCATAGAAAATGAAATGAGGTCAACATCATGGACAGCCCTGCGGCAAAACAAAAGATACAAGCGCGATAACGATAATGGGTCTCTGACAACGAAGATTGTCAAATATAATAAATGAGCTCAAGGCAATAAGCATTTTTTTGTTTTGAAATTTTATTGCCGAAACACAGAGACATTTTTCAATGCAGGTAGAATGCGGTCGAGGTCCAGAATAAATTTTCAAGAGAGAGATAGATAGAAAAAAAAGATGGAATATTGGGGGAAAACTCACGGCATGCATAAAGCAGAGATGGCCGGCGATAGCGATAATGGAGTTTGGACGTTAGGGAAGGGGGTATCTGGAGGGAAGAACACCGCGCGCCGTATACATCTTAACCAAGATCTCGTTCTCTCGAGATTTAACCGAGGGATTAAAAAAAAAAAAAAGGAATATCAAAAGTCAGTTGAGTAGCTTGTGTGATCTAGGCCGCTCGCCCATTAGCCGGATCCAGGTCGTTTCGGGTCTGATCTGGAAGGTAAAGCTCGGTAATGGACCGTCCATGCCTGCTCTTCTTTGTAAATCTTGGTCGCAAGTCAGGTAGAACAGGTCAAGCCTGTTTTGTCCCTTCGTCTTAGACCTCTCCTGCCCTCTTTTCCCCTCCATAAGACGCTCTGAGAACCTGGGAAGTGTAATTTACCAGGGAATTAGGCCCGCATTAGCTCGGACTTTGGTTTTTTTCTCTCTTCTTTCTTGCAGCGTGGTTATTTGATTATAGGTCAATCTCTGATGAACTGGGTTATTTTGGTTTGTTTGTTTTTGTTTTTTTGAGATTTTTTTTCTGGGGTGGGGGAATTAACTGGTGACTCCTCGTGCAACGTTTGCGCAACAACCGGAATCTTTGGGAGAATTTTGTCGCAATTTGAGACGGATGTTGATCTTAGATAAGGATAGGAATATCGGCAAGTCGGGACGGGTTTTTTTAAGATGTTTTTTCTGGGGTGGGGGAATTAGCTGGTGACTCCTTGTGCAACGTTTGCGCAGCGCCCGGAATCTTTGGGAGAGAATTTTGTTGCAATTTGAGACGGATGTTGATCTTAGATAAGGATAGGAATATCGGCAAGTCTTGACGGGTCCGGGTAATTGAGGGCAACACGGCCGGAATTGGAGAAACAGAGGAATTGGAAATTGTATGAAAGTACCAGAATTATATGCACTATACAGAAGAATGTAGATGACAGTATTGCAGTCTGGGTTACAGAATTTGTAGTCTGCGGAAATTGTGAAGTCAACAATTTGTTTTGGAGAGTAAGAAATGCTCCGAGAGAAATCAGTTTCCACCAAATCGACGTGGAGTTAAAATTCCAGAATCACTGTTTGAAATGCCCACATACATTATTTTTTGATTATTGTATTCTACTTCTGTCCTTTTAAGTTCTTTTGAGCATTCTCCATAAATATCATCATATCAGAATGTTACCCAATAGATGACTGTGATTTTAAACTCCACATGTTTTATAAATGTAACCGAAGAAATGCATTCACACAATACAAACCGAGCTGCACATGTACTTAACTCGGAACACCAATTTTAAAATTGGATAACGTTTGAGGATCTTCCAATACGGAATATCTTGCCCCTCCATCCCCCCTAGTAGTCTGTGGCTGTTCCAGAGCCACGCGACAGACATCCCGCAGGTTGTTATTTCTCGTCAAGCAGACTCGACCAAATAAATAGCACGGGATTCGGACCGGAGGGGTCAAATTTCATTTTCCAATCATAGTGTGATTAATCTTGCCTTGGCGAGGGAGCCCAGAAAATTACACCGTTTTTTCTCTCTCTCTTTCTCTCTCTGACCGGGCAAACGTTCCTCATCAGCACAACTTTTTTCCTTTTTTTTCGTGGTAGCTTTAGGCAGGGGCTGTATGATGTGGTTATTACAGTCGGATCGCCGAGGCCAATCCCCTATCAAATATCTGCTGGAGTTTAAGATTATGATGATGCCTTTATTTAGGAGGAGAAAAAAAAATTTAACATCCCCGCAGGAATCACGGGAATAATAAGGAGCACGGATAAATCAGTTGGAAATCTGCGATGAGGAGAATGTATAATGGCAGATGAACTTGTCTTCCCGAAAAAAACGACGGTGAAATAAATCCTTGGAATACATACATACAAGCAGTTGCCGCAATTGGAAGGTCTCCCTGTCACCATCCGGAAGGCATCATCTCATGAACAGTTTAAGGAACTCTTAAAAACCTATTTGTTCTGATTTCATTTGTTCCCAATTCTGTTGATTTGTTTACAGCGCTTTGAATCCTTTGGCAAAGGTGCTTTACCAGTTATTATTATTATTATCATTATTTTTTATTATTATTAATGTACCCGGGTGTGTTCCACGATACTTGACACTAACATGAATATTATACCAGTCTGGAATTCCTTTTACTTCCAATCAGAATTACAATTTATAAGCATATATTTTATATATAAATCGTGATAATTCCCTTTTTTCAGGCGGACGCAGATCCAAGGAACCCGGCCTACATTGCAACCCAGGCGCCCCTGTCGTCCACAATAGCTGACTTCTGGCAGGTAGGTTGGCACTTGATTTAGAAAGACTTGGTACTTGTCTTATAAGACATGGTACTTGACTAGAAACAGTTGGCACCTGACTAGAAAGACTTGGTACTTCACTAGAAAGACTTGGTACTTGTCTTGTAAGACTTGGTACTTGACTAGAAACAGTTGGCACTTGACTAGAAAGACTTGGTACTTGACTAGAAAGACTTGGTACTTGACTAGAAAGACTTGGTACTTGTCTTGTAAAACGTGGTGCTTGACTTGAAAGACTTAATACTTGACTAGAAAGACTTGGTACTTGACTAGTAAGACTTAAAACTTGACTAGTAAGGCTTAATACTTGACTAGTAAGGCTTAATACTTGACTAGTAAGGCTTAATACTTGACTAGAAAGACTTAATACTTGACTAGAATTACTTGGTACTTGACTAGAAAGACTTGGTACCTGACTTAGAAAGACTTAATACTTGACTTAGAAAGACTTAATACTTGACTAGAAAGACTTGGTACTTGACTAGAAAGACTTAATACTTGTAATGTCAGATTTGGTACTTGACTAGAAAGACTTAATACTTGACTAGAAAGACTTAATACTTGACTAGAAAGACTTGGAACTTTACCAGAAAGGCTTAATACTTGACTATTAAGTGACATGTGATACTTAAACCTTCAGACTTGGCACTTCTAGTAAGATGCTGTACTTGAGTAGAAATACTTGGCACTTGACCAGAAGACTTGGCACTTGAGCAGGAATACATGGTATTTGACGAAATAGCTTTAGTAGTTGACTAGAAAGTCTTGGTAAGCAAGACTTGATACTCGACCAAAGTCTTGTTTTTTCCCCAGTATGAAATCTTAGTACTTCAGACTTAATCCCTTGGGAATAAACCAGAGAGTGTGTTTCATTGTCACCAAGAATGATCAACATGACTCGAGACTCGATACCAAGAATAATGTACTCCAGAAATACTTGAGACTTATATATCTCAGACGTGGACAAGAAAATAACTCGGCAACACCGCTTTAGCGACATCATAGATATAGGTTAAGACTGTGAGATGGCTTTGCCGGAGTTCCAAAAAATTGATTAGTTTTGTAACGTGAGTCTGAAGTGTCTTAATTGCCTAAAGGGTGCCGTCTACAGTTTTTTTATATCACATTATCACATTCACTTTGCTCTTGGAAACCCGATACACCTGCCCCCTGTTTAACTACCGGTCTGGGCGATAAGAACATTGACTGGTGTCAAGAGTGCGAGAACCTCCGAATATCATATTGCAAGATCCTGTCCTGCACATTATTTCCTACGACGCCAAAGTGCATTTATTTTTTTTAGCTGCGTGCTGGGGCCACCCTCTAGCAGCGCACTGCAAACAAAACCCTGGGAAAAATCTTTTGAATAATTTATGTCTGATTCGGTGTGCGTATTTGACCACTGCCTCGCAATCTTGCCAATCTGCGATGGCTTAGTAGGGGTAAGGTTGTCGCGCAGGTTTAGAATTTCAAGCGTGACTTTCTGAGAAATAACCTGGCTTGTGCACGGAGATGTCAACAGGGGTTGGGGAGGGGTGATAGGTTGGGGGGGGGGGGGGTTGAGGATAATACCCAAAGTGTGTCAGTCTTGTCTGCTATAAAATCTAAGGGCCAAAAAGGGGAAAACATGACAAAAGCACCACTCTGTAAAATTTGACACAAGAAGAAAAAGCAGAAATTGCTGATAGAGATATGTAACCAACATGGATTGAATACATATCGTTGGGTGCACCACAAAGAGACAAAGACAGATCGTCTTGTGATTTTAATCACTCGATACGTCACTTCCTGGTGCGGCAACTGTCCACAATAAATCACTTCGTGGAGCGACCGACTAGCGTCCAATGGTGACTATTTCTGTTATACATGTACATACTTTCGGTTCTGGGAGTGCTCCATCTTCATTATAGTCGTACAGCTCTAAAGTACAATCACACAGTGCACTCTAAGAAAAAAATATCCTTAAATACCGTACACCTAGCTGAAACGTAATGATTCCTTTTCCTTCAGATAATAAAAATTGCCCAGAACGGAAAGTTCAAAAGAAAGTTCCTGAATTTAAGACATTTTCCCACGTTACTACTTTGACTTGTCGGTGTTTCAACATAAAAAGGAGTAGTGTACCTTGGGAGGTGATTTTCACGGATAGCTGGTTCGCGATCCGCGATCGGCAACTAATGTGCTAATCGTGCTAATGCCGGCATTTAATGCCCCCACTTTTCTTTCCGCCGGCGCGCCCGAGCTTGTCACATTGTGTGGCTGTTTGTTCTGCTGACTGCCCATTCCAATTTGATTTGGAGGAGAAACTGGCGACCTTCATCACGGCAACTGATTGAAGATGACATAAAAGTTTGAGATTGAGCGTGTTATTCTAAGTGGGGAAAAAAAGGGATTTCTATTTCGAAACCATGGAGTTTGAACGAAAAGTGACAGCTGGATTATACCATTAACTGAAATCTATGAACCAGTCTGTCTTAATAATGAACATTTAAGGGGAAAGTAAATGGCATTTATGAACTTCTGATGCAGGGGAATAAGGAGAAATGAACTGACCGGAGGCTTATTTTGAAATTCACCAAGTTATTCTGACAAGCTAGGACTTGACTAGGCTGTATGTCAGCGGTATGAATATGAATCCTAACAGAATTTTATCAAAAACTTAAAAAAGCAACTTTTAAGATGGGAAAGGTACAAGACGATGTATCCATGATGTGCATGTAGTTAAGATTATTCCATTTTAAGAGCAGTTTTTTTTCACAGTCTTTGTCATTCTCTCTCAAGGTACATCATTTTCAAGATTGGGACTGAAAATCTCATTTTAAAAATATTCACAAGGATCATATTTGCATCAAGATAGCGTGTCATTGCCCGCTCGGGTTAATTACGATGGACCGGATGATCGCGCTCTCCAGCATAAAATGTCAGACGGCGACAGGACGACTCGGTCTTCGCGCATAACGACAGGGTCGTGACCCTACCCTCGAGCTGTAGGGTCTCCGTGGCAACGCGGAAACCCGTCCCGGGCTCAACGTCCTCTTGATTCCGTTCGTCACCTCGTCAACTTCTCTCGGATGATGAATGCGGTGAACTCGCTGGTTAATACGAGATTGCGGCTGTCAAGCGTGCATAAGAGGGAGAAAATATGGGAATGATATGCCATCGTTCAGACTTTGAGATGTGTTTGTCCGAACGACCGTCATAAACTATTCATTGGACACTGCCACAGAATTAGAACTTGAGGAGTATAATTGATGGGCCTGGATTGAATATAGAATTCATGAAGGGGGTTTTCATCAACAAACACTCATACAACTTTGAACAATAATTTATGTGTATTTGACTGAGCAGTTTTGGCCAACAGAGGGCAGCAAATATTTGCCCAGCTGCCGTTATTCTTTTTCCAAATGAGGAAGGTTGGCTGGACACCATCTTACTAGGTGGCGCTCTTGCGGCTCTTCGTCAGGGCAATTTGAGGTAACACACTCAATATACCAACTACATGTGTAAAGGTAACGATGATATTGGAACTTTAAAATGACAAATTTGGGGGGTTTTCTTTCTGTCTTGAATCAGATGGTTTGGGAGCAAGGAGCAGTGGTCATCGTGAACCTCACCCCAATGACAGACGCGGACACCGTACACACCCTGTACTGGCCTTCAGAGGGCGGCACACGCTACCACTTCTACGAGGTCCACCTGGTGTCGGAGCACGTCTGGTGCGACGACTACCTCGTCCGCAGCTTCTATCTCAAGAACACTGAGGTAGGTGTGAAAACGTGCTGGGATTACCGGCTGTGCTGAGTTTACTTGCTGTGCTGATTTTACTCAATGTGCTGAGTTTACTCACTGTGCTGAGATTACCTACTGTGCTGAGTTTACACACTGTGCTGAGTTTATCCACTGCACTATGAGTTTACCCGTGGTGCTGAGTTTACCTTCAATGCCGAGTTCACTTGCTGTGCTGAGTTTACTCACTGTGCTGAGATTACCTACTGTGCTGAGTTTACCCCACTGTGCAGGATTTACCCACTGTGCTGAGTTTACATACTGTGCTGATTTTACCCGCTGTGCTGAGTTTACCCACTGTGCAGGATTTACCCACTGTGCTGAGTTTACATTCTGTGCTGAGTTTACCCACTGTGCTGAGTTTACCCACTGTGACAAGTTATCCACTGTCCTGAGTTTACAGATGTGTGAAAAATACAAATATAAATTGTTGTTGGCAAAAATTAGGCCTCACCTAATGGCAAAGTCTTTTGCTTTTTTTTCAATAAAAGTTGATTTTGTTTTGTTTTTTAGACGCAAGAGACGAGGACAGTGACCCAGTTCCACTTCCTGACCTGGCCAGAGAACGGAATACCGCCCTCGCCCAAAGCTCTGCTGGAGTTCAGAAGGTAAAAGCCATTTGCCATTTCTCAAAACCTGGCTTTGTTTGCAGCTTTGGCACCAGACTCCATGACTATCTGTCCCTGCTTTAGGGTGCCCTCTGTTGTTAGAAATCTGCCATGCGGAGAAGCTGTCAATTATTTTGTCAAGAAAAAGTTTCACTTCTTTTTACTTAGAAGTCAATGCAAATGTCCTCTCATCATCGCTTCTTACAATTTTAAATATTAAGGTACGTCCGTCGGCGAGACTTAATCATTAGCAGTTGTTAAGTTATGCCATTTTACGACTGTACCTCAAACTTCACAAAATTAGAAACATCTTCGTGGCTGACGCCCTCCCACGCCTCGTAAGTGATTTGCGTGCGCTCCTAATTCGCACTTTCTTTTTATAGGTGCCTTTTTAATTGCACAATTTAATAGAACGCGAGGATTGTCGACGGCCAGTTGCCACAGTGACGAAGCAGATATTTTTTTTAAAAGGCGCTAAGTGTTTCCGTTTGGTGACAGTACCTGTAAGTTCTCAAACGTTATAGACAGATATGCCAGGTTTCGATCGTGAGGCTGTCCCAAAATAAATACTTATCTGGGGACGGCTCCAGGGTTTTGGTCGAGGCGTGCGGTCAGTTTGGGGAACCCAGGTCGAGTGACCGTCAGCAGCGGTCATTCCCTTCGTTGCCGAAGCTCGGGACAGGACGTGGACAAAATTGGCTCTAAACGACTCAAGATGTTTGCGGCCTGAAAACAGTCCTTTGACCATTTCTTCCTTGTCTTTTTTCAACAAAGTTGAACAGTTTTTTGTTTTGACCCAGAGGCAGGCTATGTTTTTTAAGGGGTTGTGTTACCTCATCTTTGTGTTTATTTTTTCCTTTGCCCCAGGCATGGATTAAGGCAGGGGATAGGGAGGCTTATCACCCAGATTAAAAACTTCCTCACAGATATTTTTTTCAAAGATACCAGTTGTGCCGACAAATGTTGTAGAATCTGAACTCAGGAGAAGTTTATTACTAATTTTCCCGACAGGTTTTGAAGAAGTTTCAGAACAAACATGGTTCTCACAGGAACTTTAGATATCCCATAATAGTTTAGAGACCCTTAAGACAGGTTTTTCAGTCTGCCGTTGACTCGACCTCTAGAAAATTTGACCAAGGTCACAGAAGGCTCCAAGTTGTACTTTTGAAGAAATCGTACCGCAACACCAACCTGAACTTGAAGACAATACGACCTTGGGCCATTCTCACCTTCCGATATCCCCGACGGATGCTGCCGGTCTTAATGCTTCATCCCACCCCGTTGCATTCTCACCGGCTTATCTCTCGCCAATTGCGTTAATTTTTCACCCTCCCTCTTGGCGTCGTAATCTTCATTAAAACCGTTCTCGGTTGTTACCGTTGATTGAAGCAAAGCCAGTCTTTCCGCTCAAGTGTCAGTACGCAACACCGTGCGTTAAGAAACGGTCAGGCGCTCGATGTTGCAAGCTTGATTAGACTATGTAAACTCTCGAGGATTTCAGCCATTTGTTAATTATAAAAAAAATAGCTAATAAAATGGTATTTAACTTTTGCTGCTCATGCCTTTTTGGATATGTCACCTTGAAATATAAATTTATGGCAAACATTATGAGTTTTCTAAGTTATGAGCTTTGAATGATGCATTGAAAGCATAAAATTGCCTATGGTGTACAATTAGATACATCAACGATGTTTCAAGTTATGAAATGGACTACTCGCTGATAATTCCCAAAATATTAACGTACATGCATTTCAAGGGAGAAATCCATCATTTTTTTTTGTTCAGGAAAAACATCGATCATATAAATTATATATCTAGGAATAAACTTCCGTTGGTACTTTCTGTTCTGATGTATTTTTACCCTTTTCAAAGCAGACATCAGAACTCCGATGTGACTTCCAAATGTTTTAAATTACCTCAATAAAATGTAAATTGAAACGTTTAATCTTCCCAAATTGTTTTTTTATCTAAGGGACCTTTTTTTTGTAAAATAAACCTTGGCGGGGTTTATCGGCAGTGAATTTTTATCTCCAAAATCTCGCCGTCTGGTTTGTAGTCCCAGAGGTAATAACAAAATCGGGTGGGGAAAAAAACCTTTCTGACTTTTACCGATCCAAGCTTTTAATTAAATTGTCATTTGTAATTTAATGACATTTGCCAGTTGCTGTTTTTGTGTGCTGTAATCGTCCAGCTTCTCAAAAAAAAAAATCCACCTGCTGGGGGGCTTTGCTTAATTGCTATATGCAAATATCCTTGTCCCTGGCAATTTCCTGTGACATTCCAATTCCAGAGGGGTTTCCCAGGGGAATGATTGTGTGCAGATAATAATTGGATATTGATGTATTTAGTGAGCGTAAACAACTTTGTACCCGGGGCACCCAACTTGCCCAATGATTCTAAATGAGATTTATTTCCCCCTTATTTGACCATTTCTTAAGCAACTCTACAGGTCCCCGAAGACAGCAGACAATTGGAGTTACAAATTAGCTGTTCCCTTGCCAGGGGGTACTTGTTGGTTATTCTACTGGGGGGGGGGGGGGGCACGCATGTAATCAAGCAACTGTTGTGATGCAGGTCCAGCAAAAGTAACAAATGGACAATGGTGTCTAGAGTTTCTGAGCAAAAAAAGAATCAGCCAACTAAAATTTTGCCTGAAAAGTTTGGATAAAAAAACACAAAGTGTCTGCAAAATATGGTGAAAAGGCATCCATCTTTTGACAAAACTGTCAATTGTTTTTTTCCTACAATATTTTGTATGAAACATTGCTCACATTTCTGAGCCGCCGAACACTTGCATCTTTTTATCAATGCATTTTTGTATCCCTTGGAATCATTGTGTCACTTAATAGACAAGGCCTTTCTGAAGTTAGTTTTTTTTTATTAATTGATGTCAAACTTGGTTGAATATATGTATGTCCAGTTCTTTCATCTGGACTATATTTAGGCATCTTGGATCTTCCCCTGTGAAAGTTTAAAAGGTTGTTCAGGGGTCGCCGCAGGTCCCTTGCCAATTTCCCATTAAAATCTCCGTCCAATATCCATACATCATCTGGTAGATTTGAAAATCTGGCGGTGTGGGGCTTTTTCCCCCTCTGTTTTAATTGGTGGCAGACCGACTTTATTTTTATGATGCGATGTCTTGTGAGTTGCCTGCCTTGTCTAGCCTGGGGCACTGTTAAAAAAAATCCCACTGATCTACACGTTTTCCCCAATTTAGATCATTTCCAAATTTGTCAATCAAACGCCAGTCCTGATTTTCCCTGACGTCGTGGAGGAAAGCGTAAAAAAAAAAGTCTCCGTCCGACCTGATTGCTGCACCAGGGTCGTTGTCAATCCATCAACGGTTTGGCAGAGATTGTTCACATTTTTACTGTGGTGCTTGACTTGCTTAATATTTTCCCTACACCCACACTTGGACTTTGCCCAGAAGAGTTGTAGGGTTGACACTTCTCCCCTCCCCCCCCCTCCCCAAGGAGTTGGAATACCCTCTGGACCAAGTCCAGCAGATTGTTCCTGAATCCCCCACCCCCCAATGTCAAGTTAGATTTTCTTACTGACAATATTTCTGTCTGACCAACTTGATGCCCATTTGAACTTTTCATTCAAGCAACATTGTTTAGCGTGTATTTTCGGCAGTGTGAAGCAACTGCTCCGTTAACATGTTTCATTTTGCAGTGACCATCATATCCCTAGTCTTTGCTCTGCTAGTATCATGCACTCTGATCTTAAAGGAGCACTCTGCCATCTGCTCTTCAGCATATTCATCAGCATTAAAATAAAAGGACCAAAAAAAAGGGGAAGGTTTTGCAGCAGATATAGATACCAACAGTTTCTCATTTGGATAATCAACTGCTGAAATTGTTCATGTTGTCATCAAAAAGCTTTTCTTTTTTAAAAAAATATACTGCCCCCCTCCCCAGCGATTCAAAAATCAAAGACTATGTCCCTGTCCATGAATAATCATCACTGTTGGATTTGTTTTTATTAATACTATTTACCTAACATTTAATGATTATTTCTAACTTCCATTCCCCCGCCCTTTTGTTTTCCATTTTTGGTAGAATTATGATTAATCCTAAAAATCCACATTGTTCGCATCAGAGTTGAAGCAAATGCTAACTAATGTTTGGAGTTCTGATTTTATGCTAACATCACCGAGCTAACATTTGAGAGTGCTAACATCCGCCCATATACCATCTTTTAAACCGTTTAAACCAGTTCATTGCGAGAAGTTGAGAGTTGCAGACTAATGTTGAAACTTACTTTTGGAGTTCCAATTAACTGCTAACATGTTGGAGCTAACATAACGGACCGCTAACGTCCACCGTTTTACCATCTTGATAACGTTTTCATTCCGTTTTCATCTTCACGGCACTAACCCGCTCCTGTCCCAGTCATTTTTGTGCTTATGCAACTCTCCTACTCTTGTAGTTGCATAGTCACAAAAGTGATTGGGACACTGCGAGCGCTCACTACCTACTACTCACCTGCTCAAGCCTCACCTACTACTCACGAGTGATAACATGACTCACGATTGATGACTAACTCATCTTTAGCTAACCATTTCAGGAGACAGAAAAAACTCACCAGCGTGGAGTGCCTTTTCATGTGTGGCAAAAAAACCCAAGTGTGCCTTTGCGATTGCTACTCACCTTTACAAATCTCATTACTCATGAGTGACTACTCACACTTTCATCAAAGCTACTGTTGCCGACACCACGCGAGACTCATGCGTAGTCAAAGCTGGCAACGCTGCGATCATTATCAACCGCTCACCATTTGAGATTCCTGCTCACGAGTGTGTTTACTCATAATTACTCATCAGAAACTATCATAGATGCCATGAAAAACTTAGCGAGTTCCTACTGCACTGCTCAGTACCATCTCAAGTCTTCACTGCTACTCATCACGTGTGATTACTCAAGCAGCCGTCTCGAGCTAATACTCGAGTTCAATGCTACAGTTATTTCTCATATTCCCTGCTCCTCTTACAGTTTCTC